ACTGTTGATGTTAAGACCACTTGAGTCCAAGCAGCTTAGACTTCGAAACGCCCACAAAGAGAAATGCGTGGCTAGCAATCCTGGAGAGTTCGTGACCAATACCGATAGCCCTTAACTACCAGAAAGGACAAGCCGACGCCAAAATATGCTTTAAACATGCTACTTTTGCTCAACCTTCAGCTACGGCTAAAGGGTGAGCGAGATAACATCGAGCTAGTTACAGTACCGTGGAATGAATCCGTTGAGGGCTGTCCATACCTAAAGGTGTTCCCAGCAGTAAAAAGTATCCTGGGAGAACGATAGAAGCGCTGTATGGACAGACTCACACATTAATTCGTTCCATAAAAGTTACCTGTAGCAAGCAACTTTCAGATTACGTCACGACACACAGCATATACATAACTTAGTGGCACGTTGGTCGCCAAAGTTGCTAGTGCGTTCTTACAAACCTTTTCAAAACAACTATCCTGTGCGTCTAAGCAGACTCGTGAATCACGCTTCATGATGCGTTAAACACTATCAACTTGCTCCAAGGTCCACTTGTAATTTCATTGTTATTGTCGTGAATTTAACGTTCAATCCAAACCGTTTGGACGATTCAGTGCGGAAACCAATTCAAAGAGAGCTATCAATACAACCCTATTCTGCAACTGCCGCGCCATTTCTCAAAACCGAGGATTCTTTATGTATAAACAAACGCTAAGTTCTTTTTTACGAGAATAAAAGCATTGTCTAATTTAGCAGCGGTGTGAGGCTGTTATTCTTCGGCGGGTCTACCCGCCGAAGAAGCAGCCCTCACGTTTTCACTTTAACACGGTAAGAAACCTAATTCACCTACGTGGTGCCGTAGCTAAGCGCCCAAGTTTATTTTGTACTGGACGTCTACCAAAAATGTATTATTTACCCACCATATCTACAGCAGATAAGGCGGGTTTAAGAAAGATATAAGCCGGCTTATCGAATTTGCCGTCTACCACAAATGCTTTATGCATGCAAATTATGTCCTGAAAAAATGTCTCTATTTGTTGGAGGTTAATATACTGAACGGAAGATGAACCCGTCAATTGGCCGCGGACAAAATATCTTGTAGATCGTTCCATTTTTTGCCTCATTCAAACGCATTCAGGATAGCGGACGGTGAGGACTCAACGACTCTACTGCTGTGTATGGGCGAAGCTCTCTCGAAGTTCGAGAAGGAGGCGACCGACGCCCAATACGAGATCTTTCAACTCCTGCTGAGGGAGGTCTGAAGGATCGCTATGCGATCCCAGCACTATCTTACAGTGCAATATCTTGACAAGCCGTCGGAATCGGTTTGATTGTCGCTCTATCTGGCCGGTAACGACAAGAACTTCCTAAATGCAACGAGTTTGACCAGGTAGGATGCTAAACCCCGTTCAAACGACCCAATGCTGACTTCCTACTGTT